GAAACAAACAGAAAAAATATATTTTAAAGTTGATTCTCTGCTCTTTCTGCAATAAAATCAAAGATTACTGAAAAATTCAAACAATTTTCTTTGCTTGAAAGTTGTCCCGCTGTCATGAGAAGAATGCAACTTTAAAACTATTTGACTTTTAAAGTGCTGCCTTTGGGGCCGGACAAAATGTCAACGAGGGCCAGTTTTGGCCAGAGGACCTTGAGTTTGACACATACGCTAAACTTTGTAAACATAAAAAAGGTGGACTGTAGTTGAGCTAGAAAACAGAAGAACAGAAATAAGTGGCTTCTTTTTGTGCTGCACACAGGCTGCCTTCCTACACAAGTGGGAAGGGGAGAAGTTTAAACCTGGTCCCCCCCCCACCCTCGCTGATCCCCAGCTAACCTGCTAGCTAGCCATGGATGACAGCCCCTCGCTGGGCAAAGTGAGCGGTTCTACAGAGTCTGTGGCCACCGTCACCAGTGAGGAGTTTGTTCTGGTCCAGTCCGGCCCTGCTGGGTCACCACAGGGCTCCGAAAACAGACCAAGACTCAAGGTCAGAACCAAGCATCATTACACATGGTCATTTTATAACAGCTATGCCTACAGTATATACAATAGTGGTCTATATTTAGTGTGCGTGAATACTTGGTCAGATTTAAGGCCACAGAATAAAAAAAAAGCTGCAACTTTTTTTTTCTACATTTTAAACCTCTCCTGGATTTTGTGTTTTTCCTTTTGCAATTCTCACAGTCAAATGTGTCTGAGAAGGTGAACTTCTAATGTTTATACCTGATTTCAAGCAGTGCAGTATAAACAMAAAATAAAATAAACTGATTTATGTTCACTATGAAGTCATGTCCCATTTATGTTTAGTCATTKGTTTTTTCTTATTTTAACATCTCTTCTTGCTTTGCTGACTCCCTTCCTAATCCTCTGTGTTTCACTCGCTCAGATGTCTTGGAATGGAAGTGATCAGCTGGAAAAAGCGATGGAGGAGGTGCTGGATGATGATGATGAMGAGGAGGAGAAGGTAGAGAAAAGCTGCGTGGAAAAGATGGAGAAGCAGGAAGAAGTAGAGGGCCGAGTCCAGGAGGTCCACCATGCAGGTATAGATGCTGAAAGCATTCGTTTGATTCTCACAGTGTTTGTTCTTAACTCTCAGAAACAAAGAGTCAAACTCACAGTAGTAGATAAAAACTACGCTGAGTACATTAAAGTAGGGCTGCAACTAACGGTTATTTTAATAATCGATTAATCTGTTGATTATTTTTTGATTAATCGATTAATCGGCCAAATCATGAAAACACTTAATTACATAAATATAAGTAGATATAAATTAATTTAATTCCTGTATAAAAT